ATGTGGACTGACCATGACAAGGTTCTTCTTGCATGCTGCTGGTGGGAGAATAAATTGTCCAACCTTTCTGAAAGGCATTAATTCATTCAACATTTATTGAGTTCTTACATATAATAGGCCTGGTGCTGGGATTTGACAATATATATTAAAGGCTTTGAAAATGTTCTCACCCAGTAATTCTGCCTCTAGGAAAGTATCCTAAGGAAATAATCAGAGATTAGTGGAAATGTAGAACATGTGAAAGTGAGTATATCTAACACTAGGGAATTGGACAAACTGTAGTCAATCATAATTAGAATATTTTGCAATGATTAACCAAAATAATCAGATTATCAAAGAATATTTAATGTTGAGAAATGCTCTTGATATAATAGTAAATAAAAAAGAAACAATACATTTAACTTTTGAACGTCACAGATTTGAACTGCCAAGTTCCACTTTCCATGGATTTTTTTTCAATAAATATACAGTCGGCCTTCAGTATCGTACCGAGCTTTACCTTCACAGACTGAACCAACCATGGACCAAAACCAGTATTTTTAAAACATTTTATTTTTAGACAGAGAGGGAGGGAGAGAAACATCATTGTGTGGTTGCCTCTCAAGTACCCCCTACTGGAGACCTGGCCTGCAACCCAGACATGTGCCCGGACTGGGAATCCAACAGGCAACCCTTTGGTTTGCAGGCTGGCACTCAATCCACTGAACCACACCTGCCAGGGCCAAAAACAGTATTTTTAATCCATGGTTGGGAATCGCAGATACAGGGGTGGACTGTATGCACTGTTCCACACCATTTTATATAAGGCACTTGAGCATCTGCAAATTTGGGTATCCATGTGGGGTCCTGGAACCAATCCCCTTTGGATTCCAAGGGTTGACTGTAATTAAGTTTTAGGGGAGTCAAGAGTTATATGCGGATTTTTAACTCCATGAGAGTCAGTGTCTCTAATCCATGTTGCTCAAGAGTCAATTGTACATGCATCTGAATGATCCCAAGTTTTAAAAATATACTTATAGGAAAAACAACAGAAGAAAATACACCAAAATATTAACTTAGGGTGTCTAGGAAGTGGGATCATGATGCTTGCCATTTTTATGCTCTTCTGTGTTTTTCTAAAATATCTATAATGAAGATATTTTACTTGTATGATTAAGGGGGAAATATCATATGAATTGCAAAGGTCATAAAATAACCTTTGTCTAGTCTTCCTTACTAGGAAAAGGAAACTGAAAGTGAGAAACCAGATACTTGATGGAATGAAGCCAGAAACGAAAAACTCTCAATCTAGACTCTCCCTTTCCCTGGAAATTTTTGCCTGAAGTATGCCCCTCAGAATAAATACAGTGGTGAACCTTATAATTTCATTTTCACTTCCCAAAGCAGTGCTTGTCATTAATCCTCTGAGGACATTGGACTTAACTGGATTCCTAGATTCACTGGAGACCAGGCTGCAAACCCTGAGTACCTCAGCATCTGTTTGACTTTCAAATTTGCTTACACAGCATCTGCAGAAACCCTCCCCATGTAGAGCTGAGCTGAATCACATCAGTCTCTCGGCCTGGGCAAAACCAATGAGGCACGCAGTACCTTAGTTTTCGCCATGTACACTACCACTAAGGGCTATCAGGGAAAGAGACTTACATTCTTATATGTTGCCAAAGGTTAGATGGCCCAAAGGTTATGCAACAACTTGACATTTGGCCAGATTGGCTGAAGATGAGTTTTAGTGATAAAACTAGAACTGGCAACTGCTCCACAAATCAAATCATAGACACTTGTGGAAAACTCAGTGCTTCCTAAGCAGCACTACCTCCCAACTCAAAATGACTATTTCTTTAAATATTTATAATCTGGATAGAAAAATGAGAAAAAATTCAACTCAAATTTGGTCATTTTTATTTCCCTTATGTATGGATATTGTCCATCACATCACAGAAGAATGTTCCCAGGGTTTATAAAGTCATATGAACTGTGTTATTGCTGAGCGTAACCTAAAAAATGACTATGGGACTTCCTATTAATCCCATTCTATTTATGTAGTGTCAATATTAGTTTTGGGTTTTCTCCTGATTTTGAACTTAAAAGGTATTTTCTAGTTGATTTTGCTCCAACCTGAAATTTCACTGAAGATGGGAATTCTTATCTCTGTTTGTAATTCAAATGAAGACAAGCCAAGAACAAAGGAAGTAAGACATCTGGGACCCTGGAGATACTCATTTGCAGCCCAAAAGTAATTCCACAGTGCTCCCGTTCTGCTCAGATAGAGCCAGTTAATAAGTTATGCCAACATATGAGACAGGCTGAGCAGCACGGCTGCTCAGAGTGACAGTCAACCTCTGGTAGAGTACGCTTTAATATGAAAATTTAATAAATGTAATTTAATAGCAATTTTCTTTGGGAGTAAATTGGTCTCTGAATCATACTCTAAGAACATAAAAGAAAATTGCTAATAATTTAACGCAAAATGAAAACCTGTGGTTACCTAAGAGGTACTCGCGTGCACTTAGCACTCTGTTTCTCTAGACGAATACTTACGTCCACAAGACGAATGCGGGGTGTGGGGGGAGCTTTCTCCCTGTTGTTACTGAACATCTGCTGCTTGGAAAAACAAGTGGTATTTTACCAATCTAAAAATGTTTCTAGTAGAATATAAAAATCTGTTAAGCAATTTTCCAGTACATTAGGCTGAAATTGCTTAAGATGAGTGTATCTTCCTGTGATAACCAAACATTGCATAAATTGCAGTCTTATAATGCCCCTATGTGGAAATTGCTAGCACAGTTTGGCCTGCTATTTTAGTCAGTCATTGGTACTCCCTTCCACGTGAGTACAAATGTGACCTCATACAGTCGAGACCAACTCTATTACCTGGGAAAGGATTTCCTAATTTGAGGGTCACCCATGTTTTCATTAGAAGTCATTCTTTCTGGCAGCTCATAGGGAGAGTTCAAAATAGAAAAGGCAACCCATCAGTTCTCCATATAGCCACTTTTAACAGCTGATTTGAGAATCTTGGCTCCAAGTAAAAATAAGTCATTTACAGGAAAGCATCCCTAACTTCTTGCCTACTTGTCTCTTCCAACTTTTTACTAATTTACAGAGATCAAAGACCATGACACCTAGGGAGCATTAAAAAAAATGGAAATGACCTTGAGAAACTATTTGAATTTCACAGTATAAATCAGCTAAAAGCCAGTTCTGACACCCCACCCAACCCTACCATACTTGGCCTACACACTTTTCATCTTTAGAATAACCCATTCAGTAATTCTGCTCTGAAGACAAGTAATCACTGATTGTCAGCCTAAAGAAAGAGTAGGAAATAGGTATAGCTGGAAGCCATAAAGTAATTGTATATAGGAAAATGCTACTACTATAGCAGGGAATAAGATCTAGAACATTCTGAATACAAAAAAATTCTATAGAATGTTTCCAAATACATAATGCCACATGAGATACTACTATGGAAACTGATCGTGCCCTAGTAATGAGAACACGCAGGGCAATGGGAAAAAAGAAACGCTTTGGAGCCGGGAAGGCCTGTGTGAATGTCAGCTCTACTGCATACTAACTGTATGACCTTGGGCCAGACACATGCCATTAGTCTGTTTCCTCACCTATAAAATGGAACAACGTAAGATTAACTTTACAAAGTTGTTCAAAGAATTAATGTAGAAAATCGGCTCATTAGGTATTGAAAAAATGGTAGCTATTACTATCATTTCACACCCCATTTATGAATCCATACTTCAAGACTGCTTCTAAATCACAGAGAATGAGTTCTTAGAATTTGAATACAGCTTCAAGTCTCTATTTTGTGCAAGTTCCCATTTTTTCAGTGTTGTATCAATGTTCAACATGTGTAGTGTTTTACCTATTAGCAAACCTTCAGGTGGATCTGAGCCTGTGAATGCTGCCCATTCTGAAACTCATGAGAATGGCATCCATGCTTCTCAAGTTGACTTTGGTTACTTTCATCTTGGTCACAGACTAGAGTATGGTACAATATTAAACAGGTTTAAAATACTCGCTTTATGCACATCGCTGACCTCTAGTGACTAGAATCATTCTTTCAAGTAATCTATTTAATTGTTCCCTTAATGAACAAATATAAATGTAGTTACTAACCTACCAGCAGGAGGAAAGAACTTTTTCCAGGAAATGTGGGTTGATCCAACTAATTACACTTGGTTGTACCTTCCTGATCAAAGCATCTAGCTGTGGTCAGAGCCACCATCTAAAGCCACAGAGCTCAGGTGGACCACATCTATGTTCCATTACAAATTTTTGTCTTAAAAAAGGGGTTAGCTATGGTGGGGATGACTATTGAATACTAATGTATTGGGCACATTTTCTCTGCAATGCCCTTCAGCTCTTAAAAACAGGACCTCACAGAGTTCCTTATACTTTTTATTTATAATTTTATTTTTTACAATAAGCATATATTATTTATGTAAAGGGACAACCCACAATATTTTCAAGGATGGGAGAAAATAATATGGATTACTGAAATAGAAACTTTGCACTCAAGATTTATTCCAGGTTTAGAATGCCAAGAGACTGGTTGACATCCTAAAAGACTGGGCTGTTTGTTTACCTGTGGGCCAGTTAGCTACAAAGTCTGGAAAGTCTCTAACCTTCTTCATAGAGAGAAGGAACGACAGTTGTAGCTACCGTCCACAGGCTAGCCTTGTGCTTTGCTATGTGTATCTATCATCTTCAACAATCCTGTGTGGTATTATTACCCCCATCTTACAGATTAGACCAAGAGTTTACAAATCTGCACACAGACCTCTGAGAGCAGGAAAACCATCTGAAAGGCAAGTACCACTTAAAGGTTAAGCAAGATGCCATCTTGGTGTAAACAGCAACAAATTACAAAAAACTCTGACCCAGAAACTGAAGAACAGTATTCAAGAATATTTACTGGTAAAAAATAGGTGTTCAAATATGACCCAACATCTATTGTTGCCTTCAATAAAAATACTAGCTAGCTATAAACTCAGTGAGAAATTTATTCTATAGAGGTAATGTTAAGTTTATGTTATCCAAACGAAAATCTAAAAGTAGGTTTGAAATCCCAAAAGTAGAACCTTTAGCTAAATGATAACATTCCCAATATTTTTTCAATTTCACAAACCTAGACATGATAAATATACTTAAGTTTGTGGGAATCACAAGGCCAAATTATAAAACGGGCATGTGAACACCTTGCTGCCTGCTCCCCTCCCCATATACGAGATGCTGGATCTGCTGGCCATTCCTCGTCGAAGAACAGCAATCCATTTTCCTCAGAGTCTCTTCAGTAACAGTAACATCGATGCCTGAACTTGCATCTTTAAACACGTATTTCAGGATTTGGGAGCTTCTGGAACCATAACTTTAACCCAGCCTTCCATAACAGTCTTCTCACTTTCTCTTACAACACATGACACAGCAATAACAGCCATGAACTGTTTCAGCCTTTTCACTTCCGCTGAAGCTAAAACAACTTCTCCAACGTATAAAGGGGCTGGAAAGTTAATTTCCTGGGAAAGAAATACACAGCCTGGTCCTGGCATTTTAGTACCCAGGAGAGCTGAGATAAGTCCATTGATCAAAACTCCATGTACAATTGTCTTTCCAAACTTGGTGCATTTTGCAAAATCTTCATTTAAATGCAAAGGATTGACATCCCCCGTTAATTCTGAGAAGGCAACCACATCCCTCTGTGTGAAGGCCCTGCTGAGTTCAGCCCGGTCTCCAACTCTGATGTGCATATGCTGAGAGTGCTGCCTGCTTCCCACTGGTTGGTTCAGGCAGATTCTTCTCTGAAGCCTAACCCAACAAAGACGATGGCTGGAGATCACTGGCAACATCTTCAGCACCCTCAAATTCCATCAACAGGAGCTCTTGGCCTGCTTCAGTCTTAAAACATTGTACTGGCACCAAAAAGTACTTTTGAGAAGTGTTTCTGAAATTGAGGACTATTCAATCCAATACTAGTTCCCTACTATTACCAGATAATGCAAGGAGAAAGGGAGAGACCTGTAAGACAAAGAAAGATGTTGACACAGTATCAGGAGAAAATTGCACTGAAACACAGGGTAATGCAGAAACATGCCCAGTTTTATAGGATAAGCCAAGCTGCTGCAGTAGTATCTTAATGCACATCCTAAGAGGTAGCCTTAGATAAACAAGTGGTCATGATGAGCTCAGGAAGAGCATTCCAATACATAAGGCACTAGTCATTATGCAATAAAGGAAAAGTTAAGATTTTTCCACAAGCATTCCAAGTTTTATGCCAAAACTCCTCCCACGTAACCTAAAGTGCTTTGTCTAATGTTCCCGGAAGCAATGAAATTCTGGATTCCCCTCCCCATCCCCCTTAGCTAGATGATATTAACCAGACTAGATTTATACAAGCACAAAAATAGAACACATATTAAAAAGCAGTTTAATCAACTACTCAGCCTTGTTTGGAATATGTGAAGGAACAGTCTTTACCTGAATTACTTTGAAAGCACATTTCTTGCCTTTATAGGATCCTAAAAGAGTCAAAGAACTCCACAATTTGACAAGACCACTGCGGAAAAACCAAGAAAGCATTAAGGAAGATTTGTCCCTGCAACATCTCCCTAGTACTTTTCTTTGAAATAGTCCAGAAAACCTAATTTAAATGAGAAAAATTTAAAGCATAGGGTATCACAGGCAGAGAATTAAATGAACCCGAATTAGGAATGTTTCTAATATTTCTGAGTTTATAACCATCATTTGGGAAACACTAAAGTTATAAGTCACAAGTTTTGCTCTCTAGCGTCTAAGCTCCTGCTAAATGAATGTTCACACTCTCCCCAGTTTAAACTTCCAAAAGCTGCTCAGAGTTCACAATGACAAAGCTCTTCTTATTCACAGAAGAGAGCATTTTTGCTCTACTTCCCCATCTGTCTCTCATCCGTGTTATACTAGAAATGCTTTAGTGTCTCTCATACCTGCTACATATTCTCAGGATGGCTGACAAGGTCTTCTCTTCATAAGTTATGACATCCAAGGGTAAGGCGGCATCGACCTAGGTATAGAATAATGCTGTTATCATCATCAATCTTGGACTCTAATAACTATTCCTGTTAATTGCTTTTCTCCTCCAAAAAGGCAGTATTTTATTTAATAGGGCTAGAGTACTGCGCATGCTTATTTATAACTCCCTCCTGAAGGAATGTTCTTCCTGTAACTCTTCACATTGTTAACGCTTCTTTAAAAAAAAAAAAAAAAAAAGCTTTATTTATTTATTTAGAGAGAAACATCAAGTTGTTGTTCCACTTATTTATGTTGTTCCACTGGCTGATTCTTGCATGTATCCCGACTAGGGATTGAACCTGTAATTCTGGCACATCAGGATGATGCTCTAACCAGCTGAGCTCTGTGGCCAGGTCTGCTAATGCCTCTTTACCCTCTAAATCTTCATTTCGATTGTTTCTTCCCAGATCCTCAAGATTAAGCTCAATCATGTGCTACTGTCTCTCACATACAGGACCCTCATATTTCCTTTTCCATAATATTCATTATTCTTGCCATTAACTGTTCAACATGGTTGCCTACTACATCTAACCAAGACCATAAACCCATAAGACAGGGGCCATGTCTGTTTGCTTAATGGAAATAGGTTTTATACATGAAATAAAGAGGATGCACAGATTTTTTTCTTAAACTTATTTCTAATTATCTTATTTTATTGAATTTATTGGGAAGACAGTGTTAATAAAATTATATAGGTTTCGGGTATATGATTCTACAATACATTCTCTGTATATTGTATTGTATGTTAACCACCCCAGGCTTTTTCTTAAACTTCTGATTTCTTTTCTTTTTAAAGATTTATTTATTCATTTCTAGAGAGAAGATAAACAAGGGAGAAAAAGAGGGAGAGAAACATCAGTGTGTGCTTGTCTCTCGTGCACCTCCCACTGGGGACCAGGCATGTGCCCTGACCGGGAATGAGAGCGGCAGCCCTGTGGTTCACGGGCAGGCACTCAATCCACTGAGCCTCACCAGCCAGGGCATTGACTTCCAAACATTTGAGTCACAGGAGATTACAAAAAAATGTACAGGAAGGTCCTGTACATTTGCGTGTGTGTGTATGTATAGTGCTACGCAATTTTACCACATGGGTGGTTTCATGTAACCAGCACGATCACGACAAAGAACTGTACCACCACCAGCTCTCTCCTTCTACCCTTCAATAGCCGTACCCATTCCTCCTGCCAGCCTAACCCCCGCAACCACTGATGTTTCTCCAGATTATGTAATTATGTTATTTCAAGAAAATTACATAAATAAAATCACCCAGTATGTTACTGTTTGGGACTGGCTTCTTCACTTAGCATAATTCTCTGGGAATTTAGTCAAGTTGTTGCATTTATTAATAGTGTGCTCATTTTTACTACTGAGTATATTCCATGGTATGAATGTATTATAGTTTATTCATCCACTGAAGGACATCTCACTTATTTCTACTACAGGGCTCTTGCTAATAAAGCTTCTATGAACATGCATATACATATTTTTGTGTGAATGTTAAGTTTTAGTTTCTTAAAGATAAATGCTCAGGTATGCAATTGCTGGGTTGTATGGTAGGTACCCATTTAGTCTGTTTAAGATACTGCCACACTGTGTTCCAAAGGGGCTATACCATTTTACATTGCCAACACCAATGTATGAGTAATTCAGATTCTCCATATCCTCACCAGCATTTAGTATTATCACAGTTTTTTATTTTAGTCATTCTGTTAGGTATGTAATGATATCTTACTGTTTTTAATGTGCATTTCCCTAATGGCTAATGACGTTGAACAGCTTTTCACTCATGTACACCTTTGCCAACTGTACATCCTTTTGAGTAAAATGTCTTATTCATGTCTCTTAATTGTATCATTTGGTCTTTTCTTAATTGTACTGTTTGAGTTTTGAGATTTCTTCATACATTCTAGATATTATATATTAGTACTTTGTCAAGATATGTGGCTCGCAAATATTTTCCCTTAGTCTGTAATTTGTCTTTTCGTCCTCTTGACTGAGTCTTTTGTGAATTAAAAGTTTTTAATTTTGACTAGATGCTTAGCAGATTTTGATTTGATAGAATATATGAATCAAGAAATATCCCTGGCTGGTGTGGCTCAGTGGATTGAGTGCTAGCCTGTGAACCAACAGGTCTTTGGTTCAATTCCCAGTCAGGGCACATGGCTGGGTTGCAGGCCAGGTCCCCAGTAGGAGACTCATTGATGTTTCTCTCGCCCTTCCCTTCTTTCTAAAAATAAGTAAAAAACACAAATCTACAAAAAGAAAAATAAATATTTTCAGAAAAGCACCTTAGGTCTCTTTCAAAACTCCATTTTCAAGTGAATGCTAGACCAAGACTGCTGCTCAGAATGCTGGTGTGTGATAAGATAAAAAGCTGCATCAGAATGTAAATTAACAATATCGATAAGTGCACTGTTTGGTTCAGCTCAGTTTTGTTCATATAGAGACTTTCTCAGTAAAGGAAGTGAGATGCTGATTTACATTCTGCTGTGAGCCGCAGATCTTCAAAATGGGCAAAAAGACGGTCTGCAGGCTGTCAGCCTGAACCCCACTTTGAGTAGCACTGCACTAAAATAAATATTTGTCCAACAAATTCCTTGTTAAAAAAAAAGTATATTGAACACACCTACCAAAATTTTGCCATTTCTGCAAGTCGGCTGCTGAAATTTCAAATGTGGTTTTAAAGTTTTAAACTGTTTAGAAAAGTGTTCTTTCAGTACTTATCACAAAGATCTTCGGAGTGTTCAGTCTACCAAGTGATTCCGTACCTCCCCAAACAGGTCCTTCAGGGCTGAAAGCAGCAGCTGCTTGAACTGGGCAGCATTCAGTCCAACTGCACGATCTTGAAATTCTCTGTAAAAAACATTAGAAAGAAAAATATATTGCATTAAATTTTAGGCTATTTAGAGTCATACAAAATTATAATAAACAACAGAAATGAGGAGACTGAACTTACAGGCAGACTTTCATGTAGTGGTGCTCAGAGGGGTTTTTGTAAACCACTCTTTCGTATGTGGCAGCTGGGGCTGGCATCTTTTCCGAGGCTGATTACACCTTCGTTAAGAGTCAAGGGGGCTAGAAATTAATTAACAAGGTACACGCTGTTTTTTACTTTTTAAATGAGAATTTTGCCTATGTGATTTTTTTAAAGAACTAAGCACAGTAACATCCAATTTTGGTCAAACTAAAGTTACTCATGCAGACACAAAGGAAGTTTCTATATTTTATATGTCAACCTACTATATTCTCATTTAAATTCTAATACTATAATCCTACCAAATATTTTTCCTTATCAGGTACCCAGGTTTGTGCTAAGTGCTTCATATGCTTTAAGTCATGTCTTCAAAATGATCATATGAGGTAAAAAGCTATTGTTATTCCTGTTTTTTAAGAAGAGGATAACCAGGCTTGGCAAAAACAGGTAACTGCCCAAGGGCACACAGAAATTCCAACCTCTTCTGAGTGCCCTCAAGACCACTCTGGTAGGCTGCTTAATTTAAAAAGGTAAAAGTAAAATCTGGATCTGAAGACCCTCTTCTTGTTTACTGTCAGTCAACACAGAACATGAACAGGAGAGTAAGAGGTGGTAAGTAGTTCTGCTGTCCCCATCCATGCTGGATCTGCAAAATTTCTCAGTCTGGGGGCTAGGTCAACACAAGTCTGGCAGCCCTAGGAAAGATGGAGCTTGAACAGCAAGGGGTTTGAGGAGGAATTCCTGGAATGGGCACTCGGTGACACTTCTCACAGATCTGACACTCTCAAGAACCCAGAACATGCTGATCTCCCTGTAGAGACTCCCTGTCCCTGGCTCCACTCCTACCTCACTCTCCCTCTGGATAGATCCTATTCAGCCTTCACATTTTAGCTGAGTTCACCTCTCCCAAGAGGTTCACCTCATCAGGGAGGCCTTCTTTGACACCCTATTTTAAGTTAGGTTCCCTTGTTATACAATCTCTTAACACTGTCCATTTGCTTGGTACCTGGTTCCCCTACTAAAGCAACCAGGAAACTGAGGCCCAACCAAGGAAGGGGACTTATCAAAAGCCACAAAGCTATAGATCAGCATTTGCAAAAACCTCTGTGGATCAGGCCTAGTTCCAACCACTCCATGATGGCCACCAGAGCAAATCAGGCTCAAGGAGTTACATCCACCTATCCAGTAGACAAACAAGAATATTTACCATGTCTACAACAGAGCAGATATTTGACACTCACTGAACACATGATTGAATGAATGGCAGAAGTGTTAGGCCTATACGTTCAAGAGTATCTTTGGTTTTAGGACCACAGTAATAGTTACCTGGTGCTTCTTTCCCAGTCACTAGTCTCCCCTGACTAGAAAGGCAGGGAGAACAAAACCCTCAATTATTTAACTCATTGCCTGGAGCATGATGGGTATTTTTTAGGTGTTACTGACTGCCTCAATGGCATCAGCTACTTGATGAAGAGGGAATGAGATTGGGCTTGCGGCTTAGGGTGCCAATAACAGTGAAGACTAATGGAATATTCTAGAAATGGATAATAGTGATAGTTGCACAACAATTTCAGTGTACTTAATGCCAATGAACTGTACATTAAAAAAAAAAAAAAGGACTTCCAGCCAAGATGGAGGCATAGGTAGATACACTTTGCCTCCTCACACAACCAAAAGGACAACAAATTTAAAACCAAAAAATTACCGGAACTGCCACAAAATTGAACTGCCTGGAAGTCTGACAACCAAGGAGTTGAAGAAACATTTAGACTGTTAGGAGGGGCAGAGACAGGCAGCCTGGGCAGAGAGGAGGAGCAGCAAGGCAGCAGCTGGCGGATGGGCAGTCCCACCATTTGCGTGTGGATAAACCAGAAGGAACTGGGGAGTGAGACAGACTGCACAACCCAGGGTTCCAGCATGGGGAAATAAAGCCTCAAAACCTCTGGCTGTAAAAACCTTTGTGGGTTGTGGCAGTGGCAGAAACTCCCAGCCTCACAGGAGAGTTTGCTGGAGAGACCCACAGGGTACTGGAATGTACCCAAAACCACCCACAAGGGAATCAACACCAGAAGGGCCCAATTTGCTTATGTGTAGCAGGGAAAGTGATCAAAAGCCTGCCCAGAGCTGAGCAAGCGGAATTGCTCCCTCTCTGACCACGTCCCCACATTCAGCACCACAACACAAGTATAGCACAGCCCAGTGGGCTGCCCCGCCCTGGTGAATACCTAAGGCTCTGTCCCTTACTATGTAACAGGTGCACCAAGACAAAAAAATGTTGCCCAAGTGAAAGAACAGATCAAAGCTCCAAAAACAGAAGTACACGAGGAAGAGGTAGTCACCCTATCAGATGCAGAGTTAAAACCACTGGGAATCAGGATGCTCACAGAAATGGTTGAGTATGGTCACAAAACACAGGAAGAAGTAAAGGCTATGTAAAGTGAAATAAAGCAAAATATACAAGGAACTAACAGTGAAGGGAAGGAAACTGGTACTCAAACAATTTGGACCAGAAGGAAGAAACATTCAACCAGACCAGAATGAAGAAACAAGAATTCAAAAAAATGAGGAGAGGCTTAGGAACCTCCGGGGCAATTTTAAATGTTCCAGCTTCTGAATCATGTGCCAGAAGAGGGAGAAGAGGAGCAAAAAATTGAACTTACTTGAAAAAATAATGAAGGAGAACTTCCCCAATCTGGCAAAGGTAATAGACTTCCAGGAAGCTCAGAGAGTCCCAAAGAAGTGGGACCCAAGGAAGCACACACCAAGGCACATCATCATTACATTACCGAAGGTTAAAGATAAGGAGAGAATCTTAAAAGCAGCAAGAGAAAAGGAGACAGTTATCTACAAAGGAGTTCCCATAAGACTATCAGCTGATTTCTCAAAAGAAAACTTTCATGAAAGGTTAGAAAGAAGTATTCCAAGTCATGAAATCCAAAGACTTACAACCAAGATTACTGTATCTAGCAAAGCTATCATTTAGAATGGAAGGGCAGATAAAGTGCTTCCCAGATAAGCTCAGGTTAAAGGAGGTCATCATCACCAAGCCCTTATTATATGAAATGTTAAAGAAACTTATCAAAGAAAAAGATCAAAACTATGAACAGTAAAATGACAATTATCAACAGTTGTTGATAACGCACAACTATCAACAACGGAACCTAAGAAAACAAAAACAGAAACAAACTAAGCAAACAACAGGAACAGAATCATGGAAATAGAGATCTCATGGAGGGAGTGGGAGGGGTGAGAATTGGGGAAAAGGTACAGGGAATAAAAAGCATAAACGTTAGGTACAAAATAGACAGGGGGAAGTTAAGAACAGTATAGGAAATGGAGAAGCCAAAGAACTTATATGCACTACCCATGGACATGAACTAAGGTGAGGGAATGCTGTTGTGAGGGTGTGGTGAAGGGCTGAGGGGAATAAAGAGGAGAAAAAAGTGGGACAACTGTAACAACATAATCAATCAGATATATTTTTTTAAAAGCTAAGCTGTCACCTAGGGCTACACAGGCCTGAGCTCAGGGTCAAGGACAACACTGCCCTCTACAGGCTGTCCTGACACTAAAAAGGTTGACACAGGGGCAGCCCAAATTCACCAGGCTCACCACAAAAATGTTCGCTCTTCTATAGTCATTGCCATAACACCTTTGAAGTTAGCCTTTTTAATTGATATTCCTTTGCTCAAAATCTCGCAATTGTTCCTGATTCATTCAAAGTAAGCAACAGTTCCTCATGTCCTGCCATTTTCCCCTGCTCAATCCCTCCACCACACAGGCCTCCTAGCTCTTCTTCACATACCAGTTTCCCTCCTGCCTCCGAGCCCTGCTTCTAGCATTTCCAGGTTCTGGGAATACTCCTCCTCTAGGTAGCCACGTGGCTCACTCCCTAGCCCCCTTCATGAGTTTGCTCAAATCTCACCCTCGATTTGGCCCAGTGGCTATAAAATACGGCAACTCCCCCCACCCCATGCACCTGCCCTACTCTTTTCTTACAGCACTTCCCCCCTCTCCCCCCGCCCCGGGAGCATAACTATGTAATTCTTATTATTTGTGTTCCCCTCTCCATCCCCACAGAGTGTATACGTCACAAGAAACACAGAACAGTCTTTATCTATCTATATGTATGTATATGTATAATGTTTGAACTGAACTATTTTTTAAAGCACTCAGGTCACGCACAACTTTGTCCGATAAATGTCAGCTACAAATTTAGCTCCCACCTGACGCCGGACGCATGAGCTCTGCACTCGTGGTTCCGCTCAGCCCTCGCAACCGCTCCCCTCCGCTTCCGCGACCGCGGTGTCCCGAGACCCAAGCAGCTCCGCGGCTGGGCCTACCCAACAGCCTGCTGCGACCTCCGCCTCGCGCACGCGGCCCGGGTTACGCATCCAGCGTCCCCAGCGCGGCCGACAGAGCTCGCTCAAAAAAAAAAACAAAACAAAACAAAACAAAACAAAAAAAAACCTGTCGCTTTGCTGTGGTTTTCCGCCTACCAGCTCCACGCCGGACTATGCTCCCTGACTCTTGTTCACCGCAAGAACTCGCCAAGGCCAGGAGCTTCCCCAGGAGGCCCGAGCCTGGGCCCCAGAAACTCCGAGGGTGCTTATTTTTGGCTTCCGCCTGCCCCGCCTCCCGGATGCGCGACAGTTAGTCGCGGATATGACGTCCACGCGAGGCGTTCCGGGCTGGGGGCGGGAAATCTGGTCTGGGGCGGAGGCCTACGGACCACTTTGCGCTCTGGTGCCCAAGCACCAGAAAGCCGTGTGTAGAAATACCTGCATGCGGTACCGGACTCAGGGCATGTTTATTCGGTCTTCACAGCCATTCATTTATCCGTGCATGCATTCAGTCAGCAAGTTTATGTCTAGCATCTTTTCTGCTGAGTACATCTTATGTCACGCTCTCCTGAGGACAGGACTCGCTCCAGGTGCCTCTGTGAGTCTCAACACAGTAGGTATTCAGTTTGGGTTGACATAAAAAGACCCAGATGGTTCCATTTCCAAATGTAAGCCAAATTTTGTCTGTGCATGTATTTATTAAGTACTGTTACGTGCTAGGTACTGGCGCCTCATTGAAACCCAAGAAGATACAGCTTCTGTTCTCATGAAACATAGTGCTTGTATTTAAAAGTAACAGCTAACAGTCCCTGGCTAGTGTGGCTCAGTGTATTGAGTGCCGACCTGCAAACCAATAGGCTGCAGGTTTGATTCCTAGTCGGGGTACATGTCTGTGTTGCGGGGTGCCAGGTCCCCAGTTGGGAGCATGTGAGAGGCAACTGATGGCTGTATCTCTGGCATATGGATGTTTGTCTCTCTCTTTCTCCCTCCCTTTCCCTCTCTAAAATAAGAAAATCTTTAAAAACTAAAATTGTTAACAGCTAATATTTGTCAAGTGTGGGTTGAGTCAAGGCACTACACAAAAAAACTTTACATGTGTTATCTCATGGAACTCTGACACAATTCTAAGGTAGTTATAATCATCCCCATTTTACAGAGGTGGAAACTGAGGCCCCCAAAGCTAAGTTACTTGCCCAGAAATCACATAGTTATAGTGGTGGAGTGGGCCATCTGACTATAAGTGGTGCCCTCCACACTGTACCTTATTACCACCAATTGTGTGGTATTGTTAGGCAGGGTAGATAGCAAACCAAGGCAGAGGAGGGGAGGGAGACATGGCTCACTCATTCATTTAGCAGTTCTGAGCCTGGTGAGCAAAGATTGCCAAGGTGTTCAAAAATCACAAGAAAAACCACAATAGCATAGGAGGGGGTTGGGGGGCAGTGAAATTCTATATGTATCATTTCCACTATCTGGGAAAGAAAGCCTTTGAAGCTGTATATTAATCCCAAGGTCAAGGTGGAGGGGGAACCTAGAAGCTGGCTACAGGCATAAAACCCCAAAAATCCCAGTAGTCAGAGCACTCAGATTAGGTGGGTGCCCACTTGCAGCTTCATCCTGAAGTGTATTTCATAAATAAACTTACTATCTCATTTCCACTATATGTGTTGTCTCTTGCCTGAATTCTCTTGCGAGCAACATGAGAGCCAAGGAGAAGGAGTCCCCTACCTCGAGTCTCCCCAGTAACAGTATGAGTGAGGGTGTACATAGGAAGAACTTGGGGCTACCAGATCTTGAGTGTCAGCCCCATGAGGATGGAGCCTTGTCTGTGTTGGCTTACCAAGGCATTCCAGTGCTTGGCACTCAACACATATTTACCGAAAGCAGTAGTTCGTAAATGGTTGTGCTCATTTTGCCTGGGTTGGGGGCAAAGGGTTGCCTTGCACAGCTGAACCTGAGCCTGCTGTCTCCTTCTGTCTATTTCTTTTCTCAAAATCCCGCTGTCTACTGTTTACTGAAGCTTCAGTCCTTGGCTGTGGCCATGTTCTCCAGTCCTATAGCTTTGGCTTTGCTTCCCTTCCCTCAGAGGAGACAAGACTTGTTACAGATCTAAGGAGAGGTAGAGGAAATCAACAAAGACCCAGAGACTGGCATTTTCTTTCTCAAAAGAAAGGCAGCTTCCTTTTGGCAGCTTCTTGGGTTTTAGAAGCTGCCAAAATTTGCTGCAGGTCCACCCTTTGCCACTTACTCAGCTTCCTCATCTGCCACACAGAGAAGAGTAGCATCTCCCTCAGAGTGAGGAAAAAATAGTAAAGTATCTGGCACCCAGGAAACACTCTGGAATGGGAGAGAGTTCCTAAACCAGCTGCCTGGCAAACACAAATGGATTTTGCTAAAGTGAGGAGCATTCACAACTTTGAGGGGAGGGGAGGCAAGACAGAGGCCCAAGGAGAATGGCAGTCCCTTATGTCCACAGCCACAATTCTCCATGGAAATCGTATTCACTTATGTCAGTGGATTGTGAAGACAGGACAAAGGAAACGAAAATGATCAGAAGTTAAAACTTCTGCAGCTGTTGTTTCCATTTAGGGAGACCCACCAAGTGCTTGATAGTTTACTCATTATTTTCCTATTGGGTTGTTTGTTTGTTTCTGTAACGTGGCTCTAGTAGTGCATAGTTGTCTTTAACTTCATTCAAAACAATTTCATGAGATTGTATTATGACAGCCGTCATATCAGTGTGCATTTTTAAAAAAACCAAAATTGGTGAATTTTTCTGTAGCCATTTTTATATTAAAGATGGAAGAAAATATACATTTTCAGCATATGATGTTTTATTATTTCAAGAAAAATAAAGCACAACTGAAATGCAAAAAAAGATTCATGCAGTGTATGGAGCGGGTGCTGTGACTGATCCCAAGTGTCAAAAGTGATTTTCGAAATTTCATGCTGGAGATTTCTCACCAGACAATGATGTTCCACGGTTGGGTAGACCAGCTGAACTTGAGAGCAATCAAATCAAGACATCGAGAATAATCAATGTTATATCACACAGGAGATTGCCAACGTAGTCAAAATATCCAAATCAATAAAATTTTTGATGAAAATGAAAAATGTGTCTTTTATTTTATGGAAAAAACTAACCACATTTTGGTCAACCCAATTTCTACCCCGCAGTGTCACCATTGTCTTTCACAGATAAGGAAAAAGTAGCTCAAAGAGGATGTCGCTTGTCGAAGGTGGTGAGAGGCACCAGAGCCTAAAATGCTGCATTCCATCCCTCCGTGTGAATGCAGGACTGGGACCTCCTCTTTAATGAGATACTAAGTGGCTTTTCAGAGACAATAGACCAAGACCCCAAACCATGCAGATGGCACATGCACAGAAGAGAGAAATTTGACCTCCCTCTATACCTGGAATCAAAGTACCCCCCCACCCTTATTGATGCACACAGAACCAAAGGACCTGGACATAACTGGAACTTACACTGGAACCCTTTCAGAAGCCAAGGATCCATTGTTCAGCAAGATCCAGTATTCATGTCCCTTTACAATAAATGGCCAAGTTCCAAGTTTCTTCAGTTAAAACTTGCCCCACCAGTGCTTCAGCGTACATATTCCTCCCGACCCCTTAAAAACCCTTAAATTAGTCCAGTGAGCAAGATGGATTTGAGGCACTATTAGGTCTCCCATCTTCTCGGTTGGTATCTTCTTGATCAACAAAACTTTCCTTAGTCCAAACCCTGACATTTAGAGTTTTGGCCTTTCAAAGCATGAGGCAAAAGAATTTTGGTCTGGTAACACTTCAAGACAACCTTGAGCCTGGTTACCAAACAGGAAGCTTAGAAAGACAGGCAGTGCTTTGGAGCTCCTAGGAACCAAGCCTGAGATGGGGGTACTTTGTGGATGTTATTTTTGGCAGGCAGGGGTGGGGAGGGACAGACAGCTCTCACGTGAAATACATAAGGGAGAAGGGAAGCAGGATGGGGCAGAGGAAGGAGCTAAGCAAGATGCAGGTTCAGCTGACATCTAGCTTAGCTTGAACCCATGGGAGCCCTGGAGCGTAAGTGACTGGAGAAAACTTTCAGTCTCAGAGGTTAAGGGGCCGAGTCTTCATACTCACCTAGTCAATCATTGACTGCCAGCTCCAGTGGGTGCCAGATTTAGCAAGAAAAAAATAAATACAGGTTGCCCAATTAAATTTGAGTTTCAGATAAACAATAAATAGGATATCCTTATACTGAAAAAGCATGTGTTTCCCTGAACTTAAATTTAGCTGAGTATCTTGTATTTTATCTGGTAACCCTAAGAGGTAAGAGGGAGAGAATGAGGCATAGCATCTCCAGTCATCTGAGGTTCTCTGGGAAGGGGAACATCTGTGAGCCTTCTGCAGCCAACACTCTTAGCAGATGGGGGGAGTGGGTGGGTGCAGCACTCACTGAAGGGGACCTGGGAAGGACGGCAGCTCCCACTATAGGGACAGGGACTCTGAGGGCAGCTCACCGGCTAATGGTAAAACCAAACAACCCCCCCCCCAAAAAAAAAAAAACCTAGAAGTTAAGTCCAAACCATGCCCCTCAGCCAGGGGAGCAGCCATGGCCCCTGGCCTCCCCCGTGAGGACACTTTCATTCCTGCAGAGTCGTCCCCCACTGGTGCTGGAGCCGGAGCCAGGGTATTTACCTCCCCTGCATTTCTGAAATGTATTGAAATAATGGAGCAGCCTTTCTTTAGAAACCTCTCTCTTTAAAAGGCCCCAGAACAGAGAATTTGGTGAGGGGATAACCACCTGTCCGTAGGCAGCCTGGTTCTGGAGGGCCAAAGATCCTTTCTTAAACTTCAGAGATCCTTGCCTTAGGAAATCCGTGGTCCACACCCCAACACCCCCAATTTCTTTGGAGGACCCTGAATCCTCCTTACGGGAATTTGGGGTATCTGTGGGTTCTGGCCTACAAGAGCCCCCAAGTAGAGAGGTAGGGAAAAGAGTAAGCAAGGAGTGGAATGGGAAACAGTAATGTCCAGTATGATCCAATTTATGTTAAAAAAAAAAAACCCAAACCAACCATTTATTTGATGTGTGTTTGTGTGCACAAGAAGGTGTCCCCATGGACTGCTGGGGGAAGGTGGGACTGTTTGGAGTAGAGAGGAGATGCTCACATTTTTTCAGCATTCATTTTAATTTCTTTTAAAGTGACAGGGCCTCGTTTTTATCATAGTTGAATAAAAAGCAGGACTTGTCCCTTATGGTCACAAGAGGGAGCTGTTTACCACATCCATCTGCACACCTCTCCTACAT